GCTGGCTTCATTGCTAAATTCTACCATCCATTTAAAGAACTAATGCCAATCCGTCTTAAACATTTCTAAAAAAAAATTAAAGAGGAAGGAGCACTTTCAGATTCATTTTACAAGACGAGCATTAACCTCATTAAAAAAAAACACACACACAGACAAGGACACTGTAAGAAGAAAACAAAACAAAACTACAGGCCAGTGCCCCTGAGAAGTAGAGATACAGAAATCTTCAACAAAATGGTGGGCAAGTGCTGTGCCTCTGAGCTAGGTTCTCAGTACTCATTTTGCCAGTTCTTAACATTTTCTAACACTTCGAAATAAAAATTATAAGTATGTGGTAGAGTTCATCATAGAATAAACACTCTTGGGATACAGTCTATATTGTCCTTAGTACTTATCTGCCTTCCAGGTCCTAACCCCAACTTTTCATGTAAATTGAAATCAGTGGATATAATTCAGTTTATGTCAGTGGTAACTTTTTAAAAAACTGTCAGTGTGAAGCTCATCTTTCTAAGAACAGTTAATTTGGGTATCTTGGAATTTAAAATGTTCCTCTCACTAATAGTACTAATGCTTTTAAACGCCTTAGAAACTGAGAAATACAGCATAAGCTACCTGTCAGCATGTGCTGCAGCTGTTGAATTTCAAGACCTAACTCCCCCCAAAATGGATGATAATTTGAGCCTAAAATAATCTACATATTTCCTTACTTTAAAAATAAGAAAACTGCAGTTCAGAGAATTACTGCATTTTTAGACTCCTGACTTCCCATTCAGGGCACTTTCAACACTACCTTTTCTTCTCATGGGCATCCCTTTTAAATGGGCCCTGGACCTGTCTGGTCACACAGCAGGAGGTGGGCAAAGCCAGGTCTGCTGCTCCTCTTTCCTGCATTACTGCCTGAGCCCCGCCTCCTGCCAGATCAGCAGCAGCAGGAGGAGGACATTCTCATAGGAGCAAGAACCCTACTGTGGGTTGTGCATTCGCAATCTAGGTTGCTCACTCTTCATGAGAATCTAATCCCAAAACTAGCATCGTAACCTTCAAATCCACATACACTCCCCATCCACACCCCTGGAAAAACCAGTCTCTGGTGCCAAAAAATTGGGGACTGCTGCTTTAAAAAGTAACTTGACTCTTGCTGATTATAATGTGGTTTATTTTGATTGTCATTAAACTTCTTTGTTCAGGCCAGTGTGTGTGAAAAAGAAAATAATTACAAATGCTTTGTACCATGCATATGTAACATTTGATATTTTCAACATTATTACTGATTATTTCAAGAAAAGTTAACCTACTGTGAATTTAACAGTGAGCATAAATCAGCGAATAGATTCCAGCTATTAAAAACTATCGGGGTTGGAGCCGGGGATTTAGCTCAGTGGTTTCACCACCTGCCTTGCAAGCTCAAGGGCTCACGTTCCATCCCCGGTACCAATAAAAAAAAAAAAGCTTTCGGGGAGAGATTAGTTTAAGAAATGAAGTGAATGGATAAAATATTAACATAATTTTGTAGTACTAAGAATTGTGAAGTTCATTTGGATATTAACTCTCCAGATTATTTGGGCACATACAGGGCACATCCAGTGTCATGGGCTGAATGATAAGGAATTTTAGATTGCTGAGCTGCTGAAGAAATTCAGTGAGGTTTGCCAGTAAAATTCGAATACCTAGGACAGTGACATTGCAAGGAGATTTTAGTCACAATTAAACAGGAAAAAATGTTTACTAAACCCCACTTTTAACTGCTGCTAACCACATTGGAGATACAATCACTCTTTTGCCAATAATTGCCAAAAATAGTAACAGAAATCTTGGCTATGAGCTGTAAGGGTGAAAGGCGATTTTTCTGTTTTATTTTTTAATTTATAAGGTCTTCTTTTCCATTACTAGGAGATAAAGTGTCCTTTATTTACCACATACAATGCATAAAATAGTATACTTGTATAAATAAAACCCAAATACTGTACAGTAAGTGAGCTCCCAAGTACACTCCTGGGATATCTTGATAAGTAAGAATCTCTGATAAAGATGAGTTGAAGTAACAGAAAAAAAAGATTAGAGAAGGGTAGGAGAGAGGATGGTGGCCTGGGAAATGTAGATGATCCATTTGCATTGTAGGATGAGTAGCCCAGTGGAGAGAGAGAAGAAAAGAAGAAATACCTAGACCTTGCTATGAATCGTATAAGTTGAAGTGATAGGGAAAACTAAGCGAATGAATAAATACCCACATGTGCATCTTACACACACAGTCCACAAAAAAAATGTATATATGCTTCAAGAAAAGAAAAATTTACATAAATATTTTAATACTAAATTTATTGAGAGGTCATGAGATTGTTACAAGTTACCTTTGGCCTCTACAATTAAAGAGGTGCTTAAAAAAATAAAATAGGTGCTCAAAGTGGTGCCTATGAGCTTCCAGACTTGCGTTACTATGGAAAACTGCTGCTTGGGTAAATGTGGTCATCGAGATTGCTGCACACACATTTTCACTTCTCTAAGGGCCAGCAGCATAAGTGGGTTTTCTGCAATACACAATATCCTCTAGGGTCCCCCAAAGGAGGGTAACACCAGCTTTTGAAAAAACATTATACCGTTTTTCTTTTCCTGAGGTGTATTATTTTGGTAGACTCATTGTATCCTTCAGAGTCTGATATGGTAGTAGTTCTCTCAAGAGCAGTGTTTATGTCTTTATTTTTAACGCAAAAAAATATTTTTTTAAGTTTTATGTCTGTCTTTGAAATTTTTTTAGTGTTATAGTTTTCTGGTCATCACGTAGAAAGTTGATTTGAGCTACTAGAGTGACAAATTTGAAAATTCTTAATAGTAAAGAAAAACTAGCATTTTCATTTAGTAATCCCTTTAATGTTTTCCTTGACATATTCTAGAATGGCTAGAATATTTTATATCTTTTTGCTAGTTACATTTTGATGTTTTTCTTTTTTATTTATGTGGGATTTTCTTAGAAACAAAACATTTATTACACATTTTTCTAACTACATTGCTGTGCCTTTTTGTGAAATACACCACTGAATATCAGGTTTTTCATTTTTATGCAGTTTTTATTTACTTCTAAGTTTAGAAAGTCTTGACTGTCTTAAAGGGACCTCTAACTCAGTGTGTGTAAAGCATTGAGCTTATACTCTACCCTACCACCTACACATACACAAGTTCCCTGACTAATCTTTTAGTCATTCCTGTTAATCCCTGTCCCAGTGAAAAGCTCAACCATCTTTGCATTTCAACAACCCAGAATGTTTAGGAGTTATTCTTGACTCCCTCTCTCTAACCTCCTGAGGCTAATCCAGCACCCATTCTTGTCCGTTTTACCCCTTACGTATAACTTGAGGCTGTCCACTCTCTCCACCTCTGCTACCACAAATTCAAACCAAGTTACCATTATCCCTCTCCATTATTAAAATACTCTTAGGCATGGTGGTACACGCCTCTAAATCCCAGCACTCAGGAGGCTGAGGCAGGAGGATTGCCAGGATTTAGAGGCCAATCTAAACTACATAGTGAAACCCTATCTCCAGAAAAATGAAATAAAATACTGTCTTACCTAGTCTTCTTACTTTGACTTTGTTCTTCTTTGTAGGCTGTTCTAATGCCATGGTATTATTTTCCAAACAAAAACTTCATCTAGTTATTTTTTGCTTAAAACCATGTGGAGGCAGCTCACTATGGCCAAGGCAAAATCCAAAACTTTTTCTTCGACTGAGGACTCTACATCTTCAGCCTCGTTTATTTCTTGATCACTTGTTATATGCAGTCACTCGAGTCCTTTCAGCTCTCTGTGCATGGTTGTCATTTCCCTATAACACTCCCCCCGCTATCTGGAAGATGCATTTTGCTTATCTAGGGAAGACTCCTTTGAGTTAGCACAACATCACATACTCCTGTACCGCGTGGTACCGTGTTCTTGTCCCTCACAGCACTGGCTCATTGCTGCAGTTGTAACATGTACCATGGCACCTGGCACAGCGAGGTCTTCAAGGATGATCTGATTGCATAAGTGAATTAGTGACTATTCTCCAAGCTAAATTTTAGAATCAAGCTTTTCAGTGAAATTCGATTATTAATATGGGATAAGGTAACATATCAAAAATGACATTTTTCATTTAAATCTTTTTATCACTTTTGTGTATTAAACATTTCATATTAAAGTTTCCTTTTATAAATGGAATCTCTCATCATTTTTGCCATTTAGAAGTTTGTATTTTGCTGGGCGTGGTGCCACACGCCTGTAATCCCAGCACTCAGGAGGCTGAGGCAGGAGGATCACTCTGAGTTTGAGACCAGCCTGGGCTACATAGTGAGTTCCAGGTCAGTCTCAACTACACAGTGAGGCCCTGTCTCAAAAAAAAGTTTGCATTTTTATCTAGTTATAAAAGTGTTCACCTACTTTACTTAGAACTTTACCTTTACAAAAGTAAAGTTATCCAAAACTGAAAGATGTTTACATAGTTTTTTACCTCCGTTGATTATTAACTTTTTATCATAAAACTGGGAAAGATTCTCTTTAGATTTCAGCCAGAGTATTCTTTATGGGAAGGCAACTTCTGGACGGTCCCCACCTTTGACCATTTAACACATTACCTAGTTAGAGGAAATTGTAAAATTAACATCTGTATAAAACTTAGAGCTTATACAGTTCTTCCTGTGTCACTTCATTACTTATCCCTATCCCTGTAAGGTGGGTTTATTTCATATTGATTAAGAACTGAGTCTTAAGCACATTAAGAGACTTCTGTAAGTCATTAAAATGGGAGCCAGTTTTGATACTCAAGTCCTTATTTTTTAAAAGCTTATGTTGTTTCTCCCATACTGTGTTGCTTTGTACTGTATTCATACAGCAGTCTGAAAGTACTTAATTTGATTCCAAGGAGTTAAAGGTAGAAATATTTCTAGAATACCACTTTGGCATATTTTCATTTTAATTATTATATTTTTATGTATTACCCATTTAGAAAAATCATTTTAAATAATCTTTCTTGTAGGAACCTCCAGAAATTTAGCCTTTTTGGAGACATAAATGTTCTACAACAGCAAGGAAGTTTGTCAAATACATACCTCAACAAGGTGGACCCTGATGGCAAAAAAATTAAACAGTAAGTTATATAGTTAGTAGATAGGGGTTATTTTAATAATTCTAGCTTTTTCTGTAAAATTACAATAAGCAGAATAACAATTTTTCTTTTCTAAAAATGATGAAATACAGTAATCGGTATATGTCATTTCATGTCCTAAATCTTTCAAGACACATCAGAGTAAATTGCTGGATAATTATTGCTAACTAAAATTATTAGTCTTTTCTTGTCTGTGGTATAACATGAGTTGTATGTTATCAGCCTATTCTACCATACTGGTATAAAATATTGTTCTCCATAGATAACATTTTTATATTTACTATTTCTATATGCTTAACATATCTTACTCATTACATTTTAATGTGAATTTTAATGGTATTTATTATAGGTTAAATAGAAATTAGCTAATGAAAGTATCTCAGCATTACACGCAGTTTATCACCTATTTCAAAAAGCGTTATTAAAAACTTAGTGCTATCTCATTAACATAGGAAATAATTGTGCCTGTGTTTTCCTTATAGAATTCAGCAGCTGTTTGAAGAAATACTGAGTAATAGTAGACAACTGAAATGGCTGTCCTGTGGATTCATGCTGGAAATAGTAACCCCAACATCACTGTCATCTCTCTCCAACTGCATTGCCAACACCATGGAGCACCTGAGTTTACTGGACAACAATATTCCTGGTCACAGCACCCTTATCACTGCAGTTGAGCTGGAGCGATTTGTGAATCTGCGCTCACTTGCTCTGGACTTCTGTGACTTCACAGCTGAGATGGCAAGAGTCTTAACCGATAGCAACCATGTGCCTTTGCAGCGACTGTCTCTCCTGGTCCACAATGTTTCTGTGATGCACAAGTCTCTGGACAACATGCCAAACGATGAGCATTGGAAAGCACTCTCACGAAAGAGCGCCGGTCTCCGCGTCTACATAATGGCGTTTGATATCAAAAGTGAAGACATGTTAAAGATCCTGAAACCCAGTATACCACTGGAGAGGATTCACTTTGACAGCTACATCACTTGTGTTTCAGGGGCTATTGTGGATCTCATATCCAGGCAGTATGACAAGTTCCTCACTCATTTTATACTGATGAATGATGTGATTGACACGTCTGGCTTTCCAGATCTTAGTGACAACAGAAATGAAGATCCATTGGTTTTATTAGCATGGAAGTGCACAAAGCTCTCTCTTCTAGCAATTCATGGTATGTAATTTTGTTCACTATAATTTCACTACCATTACGCATAAAAGTTTATGCCCATAAAAAGACAGCACTGACTTCAGGTTAACATGTCTTAAACAAATTGATGTACACAGGCTTATGCTTTTTAACTTTATAAAATACATCACTTAGAAATTCTAAGTCATATCTCAGCCCCAAGTGTTCTGCTCCAACTTCCCCCTTAACCTTTTTCTTCTGTCATGTATTTTACATGTACACAGCAACCATCTGAAATTAATTCAGCTAAGAAAACATACACACTACCTGCAGTAAGTATATTTGCTCTGAAAAACATTAACACAGAAAGAAAGGAAATTTTTTTGTGTTCACTGCCTCATTTTTTAGGTTGTAGATATCAGTGTACTTGTATGATTTTTTTTTAAATGATTCCATTGACTATGTTTATTTCTTAGTGGGGCCATTCATCTTAATGTGAACTATTTATTTTAATCAAGTTGCTGTTCTGACAGTACTTCCTTTTCTGATATTTAAAGACAGAAAATAGTCTATAAGGATATCTTAAACTGTCTTTATTAGCTCTGTTTCAGTAATGTGAAACATTTTAGCATACTTATGTGTGAGATTGAGTTGTATGTTGCTTGTCATGTTTTGCTTTATAATTTGGCCAGACATCAGAAGTGGTATCAAAGAAAAGATCAATACTGAAAGTATAAAAAAATAGTAAAAGTGTTAAGTAAAAAAATGACACGTTATTTAAAAATTGATTTAAATCAATTTTTTTTTTTTTTTTTAGACTGGATGTCACTGTGTAGTTCAGGCTGGCCTTGAATTGACTATGTAGCCCAGGCTGGCCTTGAACTCCCCCGAATCCTCCTGCCTCAGCCTCCAGAGTGCTGGAATTACAGACACACACCACTACACCTGGCTCTTAAATCAGTCTTTCTTTCTTTTCCTAAAGGTTTATTTTTACATAAAGCATAATTATATGTGTTAAATCAGTCTTTTAAAATCCTTTTTTTCTTTTCCTAAGAAATAGCATGTTGCCAGGCATGGTGGTACATGCCTGCAATCTCAGCACTTGGGAGACTGAGGCAAGAAGATAACTGAGAGTTCAAGGGCAGCCTGGGCTACATGGTGAGTTCAAGGCCAGCCTGAACTACATAGCAAGACCCAGTCTTGTTCAATACAGGTGAAGCCCCCCCGCCATCCATTCTCCTTTATTCCCTCCCTGAAGTTAGCCATTATTTTGAAGTTGGTACATATCATTCCCTTGACTTTTATACTTTACATATTTGCTGCTGACAGTTGAGAGTTTATCTTCAAAATATAGTGTCGTTTCATAACTTTGGATTGTGAAGCACCATAGAATATGATTTTTCACAATGAAAAATACTAATTTATTATATATTAATATGTACATATTTATGAAGTAAAGATTTATTCGTTATGCTACATCACTATCCAAAACTGTAACATTTATTTATGTATACTTTAAATCTTGTTCACCGTGCACAGTAGTGCTCTTGACAATATCCCACATGTAGCCTTTTTTGGCAGAGGAGAGAGATGCTAAATGTCTAGGTCCTTTTTTAATTTCAGTATATGTTTAAAAGGGAAGGACAAACATTATGATTAAAATTTGAACCTGAGCCAGGGATTTAGCTCAGTGGTTCCGGTGCCTGCTTTGCAAGCGCAGGGACCTGAGTTCAATTCCCGGTGCCAAAAAATAAAATTTGAACCTGAAATGGAAGGCGTTAACTGTTGTCCTCTGCTTATTTTTCAGGTTACACAGTGTGGGCACACAACCTCATTGCCATTGCTCGTCTTCGTGGCTCTGACCTGAAAGTGCTTGAAGTCACTGAAGAAAGCATTGATTTTGACCAAGGTGAACTGGCGGACCAGGATGTGGACCCAGTGCATAACCTTATTGAGCAGGTGTCCCTTGGCCTGGGTCAGCCTTGGCACGCGATCATGGACATCGAGTCACTCAGTGTCTTCACTGAGCCAAATCGTCATTTTTACAGAGAGATGCAAACCTTCAGTGAAGACATTTAGCTTTTTTTTTAAATGTACAATTCCTGTGGTTACATATGCAAATAGGGTCCCATTATTTTTTTTTCAGTAGTGTGAATTAATCCCCTTGTGCTGTGTTTAATCAGTATTAGCTTTATAGAATTATATATGTATATTCTACTTCTTGATCAAAGAACGTAGTCGGGTATTGGTTTAGAAGTTTAAAGTGACATTGTATAGGGCTTTCACGGTTAATGGAATCCTTACCAGACCTTGAGGACATACAACAGAAGATTGTCTGAGGTTGCTGGCTAACTTTTTCACTGAGTTACTCTGCCTTTTTGATATTTTTATTCTTTGTGTGTCAGAGCTCAGGAGCCAAAATATTTTTATACGTATGTATATATATATATATCCATAGCCTGGTGGATTTGTATGCAATGCACTGCATCTATGTATTCCAGCAGCATTTCATTAATTTTGATTTGAAATGGAAGAGGGAAAGATACTATGGTTCCAAATGGTAATCTTTACCGGAAAGCCAATTAACTTGCATTACCAATATAATAGTTGATATCACCAATTACCATGGTGAATTTCATATAGTACTAGGATAGAACATTGTTTAATCTGTTTTTTAAATGCATTTACATAAATATGAATACTCAAATTGTTGGATTTTTTTTTAACTATATATCTGACATAATTTTATTCATCAATTACATTATACATTAAGTTAGCTTTCCAGCCCAGATTTCAAATAGTGGAGGAAGAAAGAAGCTATTCCAGGGTAAAACCTCCTGAACAAAATCAAAGTAGAGTTGCAAACACACACGCTTATTAACATTAGTCGTGAAATCCCTTGCAACAAGTCACTGGATTTTTCTCTGTCAGCACGCGTGTCAGCTGCCAAAGAATAGACTTAAATGAAGTGCCCACATGCTGGCAGGGGCCGGCCCACTCTGGCCAGCCAGATACTGCTAGATTGTAATATTTAAGGTCGAATTTCGACCTGTGGTACACAGCTGTGCTGTGGCTCAGTCAGCAACCTCAACTCTGAAAAAACAAAAAAAGAAAAAAAACATGCACCTGTTTCACTGTGAATAGTGAATGTAAAGGAAAGAAAGGAAAAACTGAAAGCTTGTTCTATCATAGGTATGAGCTGCTATTCTACATGAAGAACATTCCATGAAGTATGTTTTAAAACCTTGTTATATCTGAGAGGCTTTAAAAGCCAATTTAACTGTTTCAGGGCAACCGCGGTACAGACGTGGTCTCTGTGAGACTTCCACCTGACCCCAGTTTTAAGTGGTACGAATGTTGTGCATTTAATGTTAAAGGACAGTCTGCAATAATAAAGTAAGTAGCCAACGTGGGTGCCCAGCAGTGCTGAGACCTGGCTGCTCTATTGTAAGCTTTGGAAACACAATTTATGCAACAGATGTCCAGATATGATTCTATTTATGGAAAAAGTTTATATGTTTTACAAATGGTTTTACCATCTTATATTAAATGACCTTCTGACAGGTGTGCACTGTTTTGTCTCCAGTGAGCACATACCATGCGGATTTTATACGTACATCAGTAGTGTGAATCCACTGGCACAGTGTGTGTAAATGCCAGATGTGGTGAGATTTTATCTTGTATATGTAATCAGATAAAATAACTCCTGACAGAAACTGTAAGGAAACCAGCTGAATGTTTGACCTGATGACTGATGTTGTATGGTTTATGTTAAATGTATATTCTTTTAATCAATGAATAAAGCATTAAAAAGTGATCATTGTAATATATTTTATTGTATCTGGAGCATGAAATTTTTAGAGTTAGGTAAACTGCAGTAATCCTTATACTGTATATAATCATGTTAGCTGCTATTGTATTCTGGTGCAGCAAAGCTTAAGCTTGGGATGTTACCATAAAAAGTTAGGTTGAATAATTTCGAAGGTATTCATTTTAATTCACTTTGACAAAAGAGAAGCTTAAAAGCAAGACATGACTGGTTAGCACAAATCCTAGTATATTATGCATTTAGAATACATTATTGATACAGTAAACAGTTATAGACTATGGGCACTTGTTTTTTAAAATTCCTATACTATATGCAAAAATTACTTAGATTTGCTCATATTAAATATTTCATAAATCCTTTTATTGTTTTGGTTTGATGATGTGATTTCTATTCTTGGTTGTTAAAACAGACAGTTGTCATAGGAAAGAAAATGTTTTCCTTTTATCTTCCCTTTAATCATTACCGATTTTTCACTGGATAGTCTGGTGTTCAAAAAGAATTATCTTTAACACATATCAGTTCCTTCTTAGACAGATCTGAAACTTTTGAATGAATCTGCATGTTTATGTATTTAAAATGTACCCAAAATGGATGAAAAAGGAAGGTCTGTTGTTATGAGTAGCACACACATGAAGGCTGGTGTAGAAAAGCACTAATCTCAGGTTCACCTCTCGTCTTGACTGCCTGAGCACAAACCCTTCTTTGACTTTCTTTCCTTCTCTCTGAAATGAGGACTGGACTTTGTCATCAGACTGAGTCTTCACTTAGCCCAACCACTCAGATGTACAGGAACATCCTGAACAAAGTATTAGTTTGAACACAGTTTACTAAACTATAGGAAATGTATATATCTAAAAATTATCTTCCAGTTTCCCTCAGCACTCCAGAATACAGAAGTTGGGGAGCTGGTGGGGTGAGGCTTCAGAGGAACAGTGCTTGCAGTTGAACACGTATCCTACCAAAACTAGCTTGTTTGTGTTCAGAACATGAATCAGAGAGGGTGTCTGAAACCAGTAACACACAATGCCAAGTGACATGTAAGCAGCCGTTAGTAACTTCCAAGACCTGCACTATTAATGTCTGAAGTAGTGCTTCCAAACCTTGTGTCTTAACACACATAGTATTGTAGAGGATACTCACATAAACTACAGGGCGTTGAAACCAAAAAAGTCATGTTATACAATTGATGAAAAAATAAGACTACGCAGAAAGTTGAATTTGTATAGAACTTTCAAATAAAATCTTGTCAGATATTTTGGTAACTACTATAAATTTTAATACTGCCTTAATGAGAAATACCCAACATACAGGTAATTATTTTCTACAACCATTCAAAATATTTACTAGTGAAATTAAGAACAAAATTGTTTGAGGTGGGATCTCCCTACATTGCTCGGGCTGGCTTTGGAATTGTGTGGTTTTTTTGGTTTATTTTATGAAGTCAGGGATTTGGTTCTTGTGTTACCCAAACTGGTTTTGACATATACTTCTTCCCTCTTGGCCTCCTGAGTATTTGGAACTACAGGCACAGCTGAGATTAAGTAATTTAACAGCTCTTCTTTTTCTTTCTTTAGTACAATGTTGAGGTTTCTTGTCCAGTAAGTCTCTGACTTATAAACAAGTTCCTGTCCGGGAGAACATTTCCTAAGTTGGATTTGCTCCTTTCTGACAAAGTGAATCTTCCACAGTAAACCTGTGAAAGTTTGCAATGTGAATGTTTGCAAGTCAAGGACTTTCTGTAATGTTTCAAATTGAAATGGATTGTTTTCTTTACAAGTATTTCAAAGAAACGATGCTGTAGTTTGTAATCTCCTACACATAACCCTGACACTAGCTGAGACCACTGGGAGCAAACAGCCTCCAAGAGACACAAATACCTGATACATGAAGGCAATTGGAGGCCTGCAGGAAACCCACCTTTGACCCCTGTTCCCAACTCTCTCAACGCGATCAGGACACACTCAGGTGTCCTACCTGCTCTTCACACACCTGGCACGAACCTGATTTGCACACAGCTTTGTAGGCCCCCTTGTCCATGATGGACACTCACCTGGCCAAGGAGTAGTGAGTTTCTGTTTTCTCTCTATCCAAGACATCGTCAGACCCAGCTCCCTTCTCATTACTCCAATGGACAGCATCAGGAGCAGCAAACTCAGCCTCCCAGTAGCCTTTGAAGGCTATCACTTTGGTAGTCTACTAATTTGGGTTGCTGCTTGTGAAAAGTATAGAAGATGCATGGTGAATGTTTTCAGGACAAATCATCTGTTCTGAAAGACTGAAAAACTAGGGCAAGATATATCATGCGCTGACAAAAGCCACAATTAGAACACAAACTGTTATTAGCAACATTTGGCTGGCAAGCCCAAGATCAAGGTGCTGGCCATTTTGGTGTCTGAGTCAGAGCCCAACCTCCCATTCCAGGAGGGTGCCTTGAATCCACATGTAGAGAGAACAAAAGTAGCAAAACAGACAAAAAGCACAAGGCCTTTTCATACAGTACCATCAGTCATGACAGCAGAGTCCTCAGGACCTAAACACTTCCTCAAGCCCCTGTTATGTTGGAGTGCAAGTTTTTTACCGGTGAATTCTGGAGAGGACACAAACAGAAGTGACCAAAGAGCAGAGTATTGAATGCTGGGTGAATCTAAAATGTGACCAATACCTTCCATTCATTCGCAGATGAGCACATCACAGAAACCAGAAGGAGACTCAAAATTCTGCTGAGGCTAGTTTGTAAGAAATTCTAAATTGACTTTTTAAAATCTGTTATTGTGGGGACTAAGGGTACAAGCTTTGAGTAAGTTTTGGAGATCCAACAAGTGTATAGTGACTGTCGTGACAATGATATATACTTTAAATCTGCTGAAAGATCTCAAGTGCTGTCACCATGGAAAGTTAACCATGTGTGTGACAGATATAATTAGCTTGATTATTGTAATCATTTCACAACATACACAAATACCAAAACATTACATTGCACACCTCAAATATGCACCATTTCTGCCAATCACACCCAAGAAAGCTGAAAATGTCACTGAATTTAACTGTCCATTTAAAGCACTGTTGTCACTAGAGCAATACTAAATAGACATTATATAAAACAATCTCAGCTGTTTGAACTTCAAAAGTAAATATAAAAAACTGCTAGAGTCAGAGTATTCTCTCACTAATACTAAAGGTATCACAACCAGAAGAGCCATTTCCACTCGGTTCCGCTCACTCTGCCTTCTTTTCAGCCTTCTTTTCTAATGACCATTCATTTGGTTTCTCAGTTAACAGTAGGTCAAAGGGCAGATAATGGTGAAAGCTCAGAAGCTTATACAGAGGAAGAAAGGATTTAACAAGCCTTAGGCCATTTGTGGAGAGGTGTGAAGCAAGTTTCAACACCTGTGCTAGGCTTGAAATACAGGATAATGCTAAATATTTGTAATGATCATGAACCAATATGGAAATGATGCATTGCATTCAGAATGTGCAATAAGTTAATGCAGGAATGAATATATTTTAAAAACATTTCCACAGAAAATGGTTAAAAATAAATGTTTGTGATTAAAAGAATGGGCTTTAGTTGATCAAGAAATATTCAGTTATGTTGGGAGTTGTCTGAGAAAACCCTGGAAAGTTAGCTCAGAATACCATAACATGCATTATATACTTTGTATATCAAGCACTGTTCTATGCACTTCAAAAGCAAATATATTATCATTTATTTCTCAGTAATCCTGGCAAAAATGTCATCCTCATTTCATAAACGGAGACACAAGAAGGTTAAGAATCTTGTCCAAAGTCATAAAGCTAGTAAATGTTTAATAGAATTTAAATACAGATGATATGATTTCTACATTATACCACCTTTGTGCTGCCTCTGATAAACACTACAACCACACCCCTGTGGGATAGACACCTTTCCCTAGTTAGGTTTGTGAATGTATTGACACAAAAGTTCCAACCGTATTCATATGCCAACATTCTTGCTGTCTTTCTTGAAGAACATCAACTGCTCATGGTGTATGTGTGTACAGCTAATGAATCACAAAGCAAGCGAATGATCGTGTAAGTATATGAATTTATACCTAACATACAATGTATGTACATGAAAACATGGTAGAAATATGAACATACTGTATGAGTATCATTTTACTTTTATGCTAATTTTTAATATGAAAAATTACAAAATAGTTATATGATAACCTCACCTACTGTCAGCCAATTTAACTGTAAAGTTACAATAGGTACTACCTTGTACTTGTATTATTTCTGGAAACAAAGAACT